GGATAGTATTACAGGTAGGCCACACCCCTGGAGAAACTCCCCCTAGACTGACCGGCCGCTTAGGACATAGTCATGTGATCCATCATGAGAAACAACACTCACAAGTGAAGTCCAGCCAAGTTGACAGATCTTCAACTATCACATCTGCCTTATCTTTTTTTGTCCTTGAAAGAGGTGAAATGGTCTTGGTGTGGAGATTTTAATTGTATTGTGACCACAGACTAAAGTCTAAAGCCTAGCCGTCTATCTCACAACATGTGCTGCATTTGATCATGAAAGAGATTAAGCAAGGATATGTGCTGATATAAATTCTTTACTGGTAGTAGAAGAACATTTTAAACTGAATCCTAGTGCTTATTCTCTAAAAGATAGCTCATTTCTTCATTTGTAAAGTGAGGATAAAAATGGCACCCACTTCAAAGAGCTAGTCTGTGGAACAGATGAAACAGTGCATGTAAGGACCATTTCCTCTGACATACTTCTCTGAACCTTCTTGTAATTGATTGACTGCTTACTGATTTTAGAGCTCTTGAGCTGGACGGTACACAGAAGATCTGATTTGAAGTGCAGATTTCTTTTTCTTTCTACCCATAGTTCTCAGCTCTGAGTGTCCTTTAGCATTACCTATGGAGCTGTGAAAAGAAACAGATAAATGGGCTTCAGACCTGAAGCTTGTCCCACCTGTGAAGCTTCTGATTCAATAGTTTATTGTGGGGCCCGACAATTTGTTTTTAAAGTTCAGCTAATGATTCTGATGTACAGCCAAGCTTAAGATAATAGTTCATTCCATAACCAAACAACCAAACCCATTGCTATTGCGTTGATTCTGACTTATAGCACCACTGTAGGACAGAGTAGAACTTCTCTGTAGAGTTTCCAAGGCTATATAAATCTTTGCAAAAGTGAATTGCCACATCTTTCTCCCACAGAGCAGCTGGTGGGTTTAAACAGCCAACTTTTCAGTTAGCAGCTGAGTGCTTTAACCACTGTGCCACCAGTGCTCCTGACTATACTTATCATATTAATAATAGTTATATATTTTGAAAGATTTTGTGCCATGAGTTCATTCAATAAATATTAGGTGCACATTATGCAATAGTGAACTAGGTAAGTGCTATGTTTACTTACATGGAGTTTACATTCTATTGGTGTGGAGTAAGGAAGCAGGTTTCTAAAAGATGTGCCACTTACTGTACTAAATGTTTTACATGGGTATCTCATTTAATCCTACAAACAACCCTGTAAAAAAGTGAATACTATTTTATTTCCCATCCTTTTCAAATGAAGAAGTTGAGATTTGGATGATTTCCTACTTGTGGTATCTTGGAAAGAACAATGGCTCTGATTTTTAAATACCTGATTTGGCTTTTATGGCTCTAAGACCTTAGTCAAATTATTTAATATCTCTGAGCTTCAGGTTTCCTCATTTATTAAAATGAAAGTAGCATTATATAAATTGCAAATTATTGTGAGAATTTAATGGAATAAGCTATATCAAAGAGACTAGTACTATGCAGAGCAAATAATAAAAGTCCTTAATGCTCATTATCTGTTATTTTTCCTACTGAGTTCTACCTACATTGTTGAATTGATGATCATGTTTTCCCTTTCATGATGCAGTTTTTGATCCTTTTTGTTTTTGAGTAAAAATAGTTTTAAGTTAGTACCTCTTTGAACTAAACAAACAGTTTTTGCGGTGATTTTGACTATACAGTGAGGTTTGAGCACATAAATTGTTATCCTGTGGTCTTCAGTTAACCTTTAGTTAGCCTTAATATTGTGCTAATGAGAGAGAGGAGATTTGAAAGAGAATTTATAGGGCCCAGTCTCAGGTCCTTAGGATGTTACAGCCTAAGATGTCATCTAAACTATCTTTTTCTCATTTGTCAAAGAGAGCATCATCATATAGAGCAGAATCTGAAACCTTGCTAACAGCAACATAGGGAATCTTTCTTTTATATGATTAATGATCAATTATTTTGTAACTAAACCTAACTCACTGCCATGGACTTGGTCCCAACTCATAGCGACCCCTCCTTGGGTTTCTGAGGTAGTATCACTACAGAAGTAGATTGTCCAACCTTCCTTCTGAGGAGTGGCTGGTGGGTTTGAACCACCAGCCTTCTGGTTAGCAGTCAAATGCCTTAGGCACTACACCAGAGATATTAAATTATTTGCCCAGATTTCTGGCAATAACTTATGCCCCATCAGGTCCATCACTGAATAGGACTCCCTAATGTAGATAGTTCTTTGCCCGGAGACCCACTCACTTAGGTTTTCATGAGCATGATTGCTGTTTAAAAGCTCTGATTGTGCCTGATGTGTTTTTCTTTTTTTTCTCCCTAGGTCAGTAAAATTGTGTCAAATGTTCCCCAGTTGGAGTTTCTAAATCTGAGTTCCAATCCTCTGAATTTGTCGGTTTTAGAAAGAACCTGTGCTGGGTCCTTCTCTGGGGTTCGCAAACTTGTCCTCAACAACAGCAAAGCTTCTTGGGAGACAGTCCACACGATACTTCAGGAGCTACCAGAGTAAGCCCAAGGCAGCATGATGGAGAGGGATCTATATTGCCATCTGTGTTATTACATAGAATTACTACTGATCTCCCATCTCAGAAATACTAGAACTGCAGATTGGAGAATGAGGTTAGAAAAATGAAGTCATTAGAATGATGGGTGTTAGGGTAATCTGGTAGCATTTCCATTGGAATACTGTTCAGGGTGTTGAGTAGCACCAAGATACAGGATATATCATCTTTTGGCTAGAAAATACCCCTGAGAAATAGTTATCACTTCTAGATCAGCCCAGCCTTTCTCCATTTGAATCTTCTGATTACCTGATTTAAAAATTTTGCCTCATTAGTCCTTTTCTTTGAGAGGAAAAAAATCATAGTTATCTCTAAAATATGTTAACACTTAGATGATTAAGTGTCTAGCTGGCTTGCTGGGAAAATGGACATTTTTAATACTCTTTTCAATAATTTAAACGAGAACTTTTATTTTCACTTGTCAGTTTAGAATTACTTTATACATTTTGCTTGTATCTATCAGTGTATATGCACATAAGTGTTCAAAGGGGGTAATTTAAAGAAACATACAAAGTTCTAGTTTTTTGACTATCTAAAAATGGAAATTATCAAAGCCCTTCAGAATCTGGTCTCACCTTACTTATTCCAGCTTAGTTTCTCTCTTTAATAAGACTGGTTTCCTTACTGCAGGCAGCAGGCAGCATGGCATAGAGTGAACTTTTAAATTCCAGTTCCAGTTACTAACCGTATGACCTTTGGAAAGCTACTTAAGGTCTTTGAGCTCAGTTTCCTTGACTATAAAATGGGAATAATTGTATCTACCTTTCAGAAGCAGAAGTGAAAAATACAAACACCTAGCACAGGGCCTGATACAAAGTAGGGATTTAATAAATAGGAGCTTATATTTCCATTTCTAAACATTTATTCATTTTGTTTCTGGAATTTTCTTCTATCTCCTCTCAACTATGCAAGTTCACCCCTCCTTCAAGGCCATGCATCTTTTCCTGGTTTTTCTTACTTCAATTTTATTCTTATATGAACTACTACTGTGCTTACAGTTAGTACTGCTTAGTTTATCACTTAATTATTTAAGCACAAAATTAATTTAATATTGGCCTATATCTTTCTCTGCTGTTTTATGTATTTCAAGTTCATCTTCCTAGTTACATATTAAGCTCAGGGAGAAATCATTATGTTTGTTCTTCAACAGCTATTAAAGACTTACACATAGTAGGTACTTATTTATTTATTAAGTGAATGACTATAATTGCAAAGCAGAAACTTAACTGCTTTAAACAATGAAATATTTCCTTTTTTTTCTCTGCAGTTTGGAGGAGCTTTTCCTGTGCCTTAATGACTATGAAACAGTGTCTTGTCCTTCTATTTGCTGTCATTCTCTTAAGCTACTACATATAACAGACAATAACCTCCAAGACTGGACTGAAATACGGAAGTTAGGAGTTATGTTTCCTTCCCTGGATACCCTTGTCCTGGCCAACAATCATTTAAATGCTATTGAGGAGCCTAATGATTCACTGGCAAGGTTATTTCCTAATCTACGATCTATCAGCCTTCATAAGTCAGGTGAGTACTGGCTTGTTCTCATTCTACATGCAGATTTAAGTTTATGCATGAGATAAAGTATTTCTTTCAGTCATATATCTATCTTCTTATAAGATGATTTTTCAATGGTGATGTGCAGATGCCTATTCATTGGCTAAATTTAAGGCATTTTCATAAGTGCTCTGATACATATTAAGTGGCATAGCATTATATTAGCATTTCTAGTTTATATACTAAAGGTGTCATGCTGTGAAAGGAGTAAAATGAAACTGATGGATTGGATAATAAAAGGCAGAGTAAAAAGAATGCAAAGAATTACCAAGTAGAACAAATATTTTATCTGGATTTACGTTGAGGAATCCCAACCTGCTATGCCTTTTCAAATGCTCACTTTAGTTTTCTGTGATTTCACAAGAATGAATTTTTTTTAAGCATATATCTTAAAGCAACTTCTTGTCGTTGTTGTTATGTGTTGTCGAGTCAGACCCGACTCATAGCGACCCCTCCTTGGGTTTCTGAGGCAGTATCACTACAGAAGTAGATTGCCCAATCTTCCTTCCGAGGAGTGGCTGGTGGGTTTGAAGCTCCAGCCTTCTGATTAGCAGTCAAGTGCCTTAGGCACTACACTACCAGAGCTCCCTAAAGCAACTACATAACTAATAATAACTCTAACCTATATCTTAAAGTAACTGCATAACTAACAAAAACTCTAGCCTACAGCTGAAAAAAATATATAAACTTTAGTTTTACTTACCATAGCTTTAATAAGTGTGGGAAATAAGTTTTAAAAACTTACTTATGTTATTATTTATTTGGCATAAGGGAACTATTTATTTCATAATTCTGTACCTCTTGAGTTACCTCTATTCTTCCTCCTAGATGGAAATGTTATTCTGAAGGGAAGAGAATGGTTGTGACTTGGGATAGTTATGCACCAGAGTGCTCATAAATTGCTCCTCTGCCTTTTTTCTTGCTGCAGGTTGATGGAAATAGGAAGGGACCACGTTGTACTCTGAAATGGATTTAATGTGTCGCACAATTGACCAGCTTCATTATTACAGGAGTATTATTCTTACTAATGCCAAGTATTGACTGGAATGATACATTTACTTACAGTCATAGGGAGAGTTTCATTTTAGGCCTCAACAATTTTAATGTGCTACATGTTTTCCTTAATCAATGGTCCATGTTTTGGGGCTTGTTTTTAGTATCATTTTGAATTGATTTTCTCTGTCCTCAAAATGAGAACAATTGGAAAGAGAGATGATAATTAACTTCTGTTCTGTCGACCTTGCCCCATATTAGACTTTGTCAGGTAAAAATATGAGTATGACAGTTTCAACTCCAATCAGTAATTACTATTTTTTCTTTTATGATTGGACAGTTGAATGAAATGAGTTGGTCATACCACTTTTTATTATGTAGTCATGGAATACATCCTGCTTATTGATACCAGCAATGAACATTTTTGTAAGCAGTTTTGGATGTCATTAAGTAAATGAGCAGATGTTGGAAAATAAGGCTCTCTCTCCTTGACCATTGGGATCACAGGCATAGTAGACACTATAGGGCAGTTTTTATGGTGTTATATCACAAAAATATTCCACTCTTCCCTTGGATAAAGAAAAATTTCAGGTTCTATAGTCTTAGTTTAAAACATTTTAATATTTCAGAATTTATTAACTAAAATAATTTTTTGCTAAGTTTATCTGTTTGTTTGCTTTTCTGGATTTACTAAAACACTGTATTTCCCAAATTAGGTTTGCATTCTTGGGAAGATATTGACAAACTAAATTCATTCCCTAAACTTGAAGAAGTGAGATTATTAGGAATTCCTCTTCTGCAGCCATATACCACTGAGGAGCGAAGGAAGTTGGTGATAGCCAGGTCTGTTGTTCTCCAGCTTTCTTTTTGTGGTGCCTTACTGTTTCCTTAAGGAGCCCTGATGGCATAGTAGTTAAACACTTGATTGCTAACTGAAAAGTCTGTGATTCAAATCCATGAGCTGCTCCATGGGAGAAAGATGTGGCAGTCTGTTTCTGTAAAGGTTACAGTTTTGGAAACCTTATGGGACAGTTCTACTCTGCCCTTTAGGTTTGCTATGTGTCTGAATCAACTCCACAGCAACAAGTTTATTGTTTCCTTAAAGGAATAATGCATGGGGAGGAGTGCAGTATGAGCAGACTGCTTGAAGAAGCTGCTCTGTAACCCCTAAACCCTGGATGAAAAGGAACATAATATGATGAGAAAGATGTGAAGTGACCTTCAAAGACCACTGAAAAATTTCCTTACACATCTATTCTATTTTTATGCTTTGTGATACTTAGAATATTTGAAATTCTATTTTGGGTCATGAAGAAAAGTATATATAGTAGGGAATTGTTGTTGTTGTTGTTATGTGCCGTCGAGTCGGACCCAACTTATAGAGACCCCTCCTTGGGTTTCTGAAGCAGTATCACGACAGAAGTAGATTGCCCAACCTTCCTTCCGAGGAGTGGCTGGTGGGTTTGAACTTCCAGGCTTCTGGTTAGCAGTCAAGTGCCTTAGGCACTGCACTACCACAGCTCCTAAGTAGGGAATTAGTTCTAGTTTAATCATCCTTATTTTCTCTGTTACAGAAACAAATAAACAAACAAAAATACACTAGTTGCTGTCACGTTGATTCCAATTCATACTGACTCCCTGTGTGTTGGAGTAGAACTGTGTGCTCTGTAGGGTTTTCAGTGGTTGATTTTTCCGTAGACCAGCAGCCCATTCTTCCAAGGCACCACTGGGTGTACACGAACCTCCAGCCTTTTGATTATAGCCAAATGTGTTAGCCACTTACACCAGCCAGGTACTCCATTTAAAGTGTAGATACCACCTCAGTATTAATAGCAAAGTTCAAAAACAAGAAAGCAAGAAATTCTGGTGAGGTTGTACAGCTTCTGGAACCCTCATCCACTGCTGGTGGGATTGTAAGATGGTACAGTTACTATGGTAAATGGTATAGTGCTTCCTTAAAAAGTTGGAGATAGAAATACCATGTTGTTGTTGTTGTTGTTATTTGCCATCGAGTCGTTTCCGACTCATAGCGACCCCATGCACAGCAGAACGAAACACTGCCCGATCCCGCACCAGCCCTACAATCCCTGCTATACTTGAGCCCATCATCGCAGCCACCGTGTCAATCCATCTCATTGAAGGCCTCCCCATCTTTCGTCGACCCTCCACCCTACCAAGCATGATATCCTTCTCCAGGGATATCTTCTTACAACATGACCAAAATAGGTGAGACGAAGTCTGGCCATTCTTGCTTCCAAGGAGCAGTCTGGCTGCACTTCCTCCAGGACAGACCTGTTAGTTCTTTTAGCAGTCCATGGTTCTTTCAGTATTCTCCGCCAGCACCACAACTCAAAAGCATCAACTCTTCTTCGGTCTTCCTTATTCATTGTCCAGTTCTCACATGCATACGAGGCGATTGGAAATATCATGGCTTGTGTCAGGCGCACCTTAGTCCTCAAGGAGATATCCTTGCTCCTCAGCACTTGAAACAGCCCCAGGGTTACAGGTGAGGAGAGACAACTCAGGGACGCCCAAAGTAGCAGGTGGGAAGAGTAGGAGAAAGGGGATTAAAAGCCAGGAAGCCAGAGAGAAGAGCAATCAGCCGAAGGGATTAGGTGAGGAGAGGAAACTCAGACCCGCCCAGAGTAGCAGGCCAGAAGAGCAGGAGAAAGGGGATAAAAGCCAGGAACCCAGACAGAGGAGCAGTCAGCCCCAGGGACAACTCAGGGACACCCAGAGTAGCAGGCCGGAAGAGCAGGAGAAAGGAGATTAAAAACCAGGAAGCCAGACAGAGGTACAGTCAGCCACAGGGACCCAGGTGGGGGTGATACAAGAGGTCTCCAACAGCAAGACAAACTTGTCTGTCGGTTTGTCCTACTGTGGTGACATGTAGACGTGAGTTTTGAGGCTGAGCCTCTGGTGTTTAAAACCCAGTGAAATGCACCTGGTGCACAGGTAACAGCCCAGCTTATAGACTGAGACACACTAGGAAGAAGGAAGAGGCCGTCCACTTCTCAAAGAATTGGCCAGGGAAAACCTTATGAATAGCAAAGAAATACCATATGATCTAACAATCCCACTACTAGGTATATATCCTACAGAAATAAGAGCTATGACACAAATAGATATACAGACACATCCAGTTCATTGCAGCACTATTCACAATAGCAAAAAGATGGAAATAACCTAAGTGGTCATCAGTGGATGAATGGATAAACAAACCATGGTACATACGCACAATAGAATACTATGCATTGTTAAAGAACAGTAGTGAATCTGTGAAACACCTGATAATATGGATAAACCTGTAGGATTTTAGGAAGGAAGATTAGGCAATCTACTTCCATAGAGATACTACCTCGGAAACACAAGGTGAGGTCTTTATGAGTCGGATCCGACTTGACGGCAGTGAGGTTTTTTGAGTATGACATTATGCTGAGTGAAGTTAGTTAGTCACAAAAGGAAATGTTATATGAAATCATTACTATAAAAAGTCAAGAAAAGGTTTTTACACAGAAGGAAACATTAGTGGTTATCATGGGTTAGAGGACAAGGGAAGGTAATTCACTGACTAGATGGTATTTGTTGTCATGTGCCATCGAGTTGGACCCAACTCATAGCGACCCCTCCTTGGGTTTCTGAGAAGTAGATTGCCCGACTTCCCTTCTGAGGAGTGGCTGGTAGGTTTGAACCGCCAGCCTTCTGGTTAGCAGTCAAGTGCCTTAGGCACTACACCACCAGAGCTCCCACTAGATGGTAGATGTGTATTAATTTGGGTGAAGGGGAAGTTGATATATAGTAAGGAGGAGGTCAGCACAAAATGATCAAGGCAAAGGAAGACACTGGGAGAAGTGCAAAAGTTAAAGGAAACAGAAATAAATACTGTTACATACATAATCCTGAAATAACAGTCATAGCAATAACCTATATAAGTTTGACAAACGATATTTCTACATATATATTTATAGGTGGTGCAAATATATCCAACAATGTAGTAGAACCAGGGGCAAAGTTATGAAAACTTAGAACCAAAAACCTTGAGGGAATGAGTCACTGGCCTCCAGGCCCAGCTCAGGACCATAGTGTTAGGGGGAACAGCAAGGTCAACTGGCACAACATAGTTCACAAAGGCAATGTTCTACATCCTACATTGGTGAGTAGCAACTGGGGTCTTACAAGCTTGTGAGTGGCTATCTAAGGTGCAACTATCAGTCTCTCCCCATCTGGAGCAAAGAGAAGCAAAGAAAATCAAAGACGTGAGGAAAAAATTAGTCCAAAGGACTGATAGACCACATGAACCACACCCTCTATTACTCTGAGACTAGAACTAGATGGTGCCCAGCCATCACTACCAACCCCTTTGACAGGGATTACAATAGGAAATTCTGGATAGAGTGGGAGAAAATTGTGTAACAAAACTCAAGATCATAAAAAAGACCAGAGACTGGTGGAACCCCTGAGACTACAGCCCTTAGTCACCCTTCAAGTCTGAAACTGAACATACTCTCACCCCCACCCCACATCTTCCACCCCTGTGCTTCAACTTTCATCCAAACAATAGACAGTCCTACAAGGTGAATAATAACACCAGGGAGGTACACACTCCTTAGAACAACCAACCACTGGAGATAAAAAAGGGCAGCATTTGCCCAGAGACAAAGTTCAGAAGGCAAAAAGAGATAGGAAAGAAAGGCAGATGGAGGTAAGAAACACAGGGACAAAGTGGAATGAGTGCTGTTAACATTGTGGGGATTATAGTCAATGTCATGAAACAAAGTGTATATAAATTGTTGAATGGAAAACTGATTTGCTCTATAAACTTTCACCCAAATCACAATAAAAAACTAAATAAAGTGAGTGTGTTGTTGTTGTTATGTGCCGTCGAGTTGGCCCCGACTCACAATGACCCCTCCTTGGGTTGCCGAGGCAGTATCACTCTGGAAGTAGATTGCCCAACCTTCCTTCCAAGGAGTGGCTGGTGGGTTTGAACTGCCAGCCTTCTGGTTAGCAGTCAAATGCCTTAGGCACTATACTACCAGAGCTCCTAAAGTGAGTGTAGATACCTATAAATTTGGCTGTATCATTAGTGTAAAATAGAAGGGAGCAACATCCATGTTTTCTTTTTGACTGTAGATTAACTTAAATATGGATAATAATTACTGTTATCTTCTTCCTCTGATTATCCTGCCTTTCTGTCTCAAACTCTGCTTGCCACAGACTACTGAACTGTTCCATGAGTGTTTATTTTAGTATGAGCCTTAAGCAGCAATATAATGTTGGCTAACATGAAAAGGATCATGGGATTGTAATTTGTTCTCTCTGTAGTAGTTATGGAAGGAGAACAGTCGGTTTTAAGGTTCCATAAAACAAGAGTGGTTCTTTAAACAGGTTTGTGATATTCTGACCAACTAATACCTAGCAGATCCTTAGTGATTTGCAGTGTTAACATACAAATTAATATCTCACTAAAGAAATAAATTTCAAGGCACTTTTCTTTCAAGAAGAATAACTCTTGTACTAGGGCTTATACTCTGTTTTCTGTAGACTGTACTTTTGTGTAAAGAATATATATATTTTAATTCCTGAACTATATAACCAAATTGTACCAACTCCTCTCTAGACTTGTGCTGTCCAGTGTGTTAGCCACTAGCCATGTGTGGCTCTTGAGCACTTAAAATATGTTTTGTCTGAGTTGAAATATGCTGTAAGTATAAAATACACACCAGATTTCTAATACATTATATGAAAAAAGGGTGGGCAGACAGGCAGGCACCCAGACACAGGAGGAGGGGAGGAGTGGGGACCAAGACAGAGCCATGTGATCCAGGTAAGGGGAGGGAGATAGGCCACACACCCAAGAGGCAGAAAGTGGGGGAAATACTGGGGATGATAGAGCCATGGGATCCAGGTAAGCTGAGGGCAGAGAGGTTTCGAACAGCTAAGGGAGATAAACTTGTCTGTCAGTTTGTCGTACTGTGGGGGCTTGCATGTTGCTGTGACACTTGAGGCTGTGCTACTGGTGTCTCAAATGCCAGCAGAGTTGCACATGATGCACAGGTTTCAATGCAGCTTATAGACTGAAACAGACTAGGAAGAAGGAAGATGCCATCCATTTCTCAAAAATTTTGCCAGGGAAAACCTTATGAATAGCAGAGAAACACTGTCTGATAAGTTACTGGGCAACTTTATGAATAACTCTGAAACACTGTCTGATACAGTGCAGAAAGATCAGCTCCTTAGGTCAGAAGGCACTCAAAATACAAGTGAGAAAGAGCTGCATCATCAGAGTAGAACCACCCTTAATGAAATGGATAAAGTAAAGCTTTCAGGACCTCCATTTGCTGATGTGGCATGACTCAATTTGAGGAGAAATAGCTGCAAACATCCATTAATAATCAGAACATGGAATGTATGAAGTATGAATCTAGGAAAATTGGAAGTTGTCAAAAATGAAATGGAATGCATAAAGATTGATATCCTAGGCATTACTGAGCTGAAATGAAACAGTTTTGGCCATTTTGAATCAGACGATCATATGATCTACTATGCCAGGAATGACAGTTTGAAGAGGAATGGTGTAGCATTCATCATCACAAAGGATGTTTCAAGATCTGTCCTGAAGTGCAATGCTATCAGTGATAGTATAATATCCATACACCTACAGGGAAGACCAGTTAATACTGCTATTATTCAAATTTACGCACCAATCACCAAAGCCAAAGATGAAGAAATTGAAGACTTTTTATCAAGTTCTGCAGTCTGAATTTGACCAAACATGCAATCAAGATGTGTTCATTATCACTGGTGACTAGAATGCAAAAGTTGGAAATGAAGAATTACCAGTAGTTGAAAAATTTGGCCTTGGTGACAGAAATAATGCTGGAGACCATATGATAGAATTTTGCAAGACCAACAACTTATTCATTGCAAATACCTTTTTCAACAACTCAAGTGGCAGCTATACACATGAACATCACAAGATGGAATACACAGGAATCAGATTGGCTACATCTATGGCAAGAGGCAATGGAAAAGCTCAATATCTTTAGCCAAAACAAGGCCAGGAGCTAATTTGCTCATATGCAAATTCAACTTGAAGTTGAAGACAATTAAAACAAGTCCACTAGAGCCACAATATGACCTTGAAAATATCTCTCCTGAATTTAGAGACCATCTAAAGAACAGATTTGGCACATTGAACACCAATGACCGAAAACCAGAAGAATTATGGGATGATGTCAAGAACATCATCAGTGAAGAAAGCAAGAGGTCATTAAAAAGACAAGAAAGGAAAAAAAAAAAAAAATGGATGTCAGAAGAGACTGAAAATTGCCCTTGAGCAGAGAGTAGCTAAAGTAAATGGAAGAAATGAAAAGATAAACCAACGAACAGAAGATTTCAAAGAGCAGCTTGAGAAGACAAAGCCAATTACTATAATGAAATGTGCAAAGACCCGGAGTCTGAAAACCAAAAGGGAAGAACACGCTCAGAATTTCTCAAGCTGAAAGAACTGAGGAAAAAATTTAAGCCTTGTGTTGCAATATTGAAAGTTTCTATATCAAATGATGGAGGAAGCATCAAAAGAAGATGGAAAGAATACACAGAGTCATTGTACCCAAAAGACCTGCTTGATCTTCATCCATTTCAGAAGGTGCCATATGATCAAGAACCAATGGTACTGACGGAGGAAGTCGAAGCTGCAATGAAGGAATTGGCAAAGAACAAGGCACCAGGGATTGATGGAATGAATACCCATTGAGATGTTTCAACAAATGGATACCCCACTGGATGCACTCACTTGGTTATGCCAAGAGATTTGGAAGACAGCTACCTGGCCAACTGACTGGAAGAGATCCATATTTGTACCCATTCCAAAGAAAGGTGATTCCACAGAATGTGGAAATTATTGAACAGTATCATTAATATAACACACAAGTAAGATCTTATTGAAGAAAATTAAAAAACGGTGGCAGCAGTATATTGACCGAGAACTTCCAGAGGTGCAAGCTGGATTCAGAAGAGGACGTGGAATGAGGGATATCATTGCTGATGTCAAGTGGATCTTGGCTCAAAGCAAAGAATACCAGAAAGGTGTTTTCTTGTCTTTTATTGACTATGCAAAAGCATTTGATTGTGTGGGTCATAGCAAATTATGGGTTACATTGAGAAGAATGGGAATTTGAGAACACATAATTGTATTCATGAGGGACCTGTACATAGACCAAGAGGCTGTCATTTGAACAGAACAAGGGGACACTGCATGGTGTAAAATCAAGAAAGGAGTGTGTCAGGGTTGTATCGTTTCATGATACTTATTTAATCTATATGCTGAAAAAATAATCTGAGAAGCTGGACTATATGAAAAAGAATGTGGCTTCAGGATTGGAGGAAGATTCATTAACAACCTGCGATGTGATGACAGCACAAGTTTGCTTGCTGAAAGTGAGGATGTCTGGAAGCACTTACTGATGAAGACTGAAGAATACAGTCTGCAGTATGGATTGCATCTCAATATAAAGAAGACAAAAATCCTCCCAAGTGGACCTATAAGCAGCATTGCAATAGATGGAGAAAAGATTGAAGTTGTCAAAGAGTTCACATTGCTTGGTTCTACGATTGATGCCAATGGAAGCAGCAGTCAGGACATCAGACGACGTTTAGCACTGGGCAAATCATCTGCAAAGGACCTCTTTCAAGTGCTGAAGAGCAAAGATATCTCCTTGAGAACTAAGGTGTGCCTGACACAAGCCATGGTATTTTCATTCGCTTCATATGCATGTGAGAGCTGGATCATGAATAAGGAAGACCAAAGAAGAGTTGATGCTTTTGAGTTGTGGTAATGATGAAGAATGCTGGGAGTACCATGGACTACTAAAAGATCTAACAAATCTGTCCTGGAAGAAGTGCAGCTGAAAGGATGCTTGGAGGCGAGAATTGCCAGACTTTGTCTCACCTACTTTGTTCATGTTGTCAGAAAGGACCATTCCCTGGAGAAGGATGTCATGCTTGGTAAGGTGGAGGGTCAATGAAGGAGGGGAAGGCCCTCAACAAGATGGATTGACACAGTGGCTGTGACGATGGGCTCAAGTATATAGCAAGGATTGTGGAGTTGGCGTAGGACCAGGCAGTGTTTTGTTCTGCTGTGCATAGGGTCGCTATGAGTTGGAAATAACTTGACGGCACCTAACAACAACATTTGAGAAAAGAATATATTATATCTCATTAATTAGTTTTAACATTGTTTACCTGTTGAAATGACTATATGCTGTATATATTGGGCTAAACAAAATATTAAAATTAATTTAGCCTATTTTCACTTTTTTTAATGGGCTATTAGAACATTTAAAATTGTATTTGTGGCTTGCATTATATTTAAATTGGACAATGCTTGTCTAGAGTCTTACTTTAAAAGGTGATGTATGATTATAAAAGGTCTGCATCATATCCAAATATGAAACTTTAATTTTTAAAGTTCTTTTATTTTATACCATTTTAGTTCATGCCAGTAGTCATACCAAAGCAGAGCTGCTATGCCAATGTATCATTTTAAGAGAATAAGACTAAGCCTCAACCCCCTGATTTTCAGATTTCTTAATTTTTAGCATTTAATATTCATATTTTTATTATTTTATAATGTCTTTATTTTGATTTTTGATTTGTAGATTGCCGTCAGTTTCCAAACTTAATGGCAGCGTTGTTACTGATGGTGAGCGAGAAGATTCTGAGAGATTTTTTATTCGTTACTATGTTGATGTTCCACAGGAAGAAGTGCCATTCAGGTAAAAATCCTTCATCAGTTTGGCAAAACACTTTAGAGAGTGTTGAGGCAGTTTAAGAGCTGTTGTTTTAGAGCACAGTTGAATAGTTTGTTATTGGGACTATTAACTATTTGTTATTGGGACTATTACTTAGAGAACTTTGGTAATAAAACAAAAAACAACTCACTACTATTGAGTTGATTCGACTAATAGCAACCCTTCCTTGGGTTTCCTAGGTGGTATCTCTACAGAAGTAGATTGCCCAATCTTCCTTCCAAGGAGTTGCTGGTGAGTTTGAACCTCCAGCCTTCTGGTTAGCAGTCAAATGCCTTAGGCACTATGCCACCAGAGCTCCCGACTTTAATAACAGGGAGAAGCAACACAAAAGCAAGCCTATTTTATCTTATTTTCCACAGTGTATTTCTTGTAACCTTGTACTTATGTTAAAAATGACTGGGTAATTATTTGTTTTCAGTAGTTCTCACTCCATACTCATTTTTCATCTGCTTTTCCAGGGGCATGTTTTCACCCATCCCCAAAATTGGTCTATCTTCACGTCACATCTACTGTTAGAATATACTAAGTTCTGCAGTTTGGAGGATCTGGCAAATGTGCAGTTTAGAAAATGTGACAAAAGGTCTAGAAAACAGGCTCTTAAGAAAATATTAAAGGAATTAGTATAGTTGAGGATGAAGAGAAATGATGAGGGAATCCAACTCTTAGCAACCGCTTCATGGGTTTTAGAGGGTTATCTCTACAGAAGTAGATTGCCCAATCTCCCTTCCAAGGAGTGGCTGGTGGGTTTGAACTGCCAGCCTTCTGGTTAGCAGTCAAATGGCTTAGGCACTATGCCACCAGAGCTCCCAGTGTTAAATCAGTCATTTTTAATTTACTAATTTTAAAATGTTAATATATTATTTATTAGAGAACCACCTGTAATGTTCTGAAAATGTAAAAGGAAATGTAGTAAGTACAAACCAAAAAAACCAAACCCATTGCTATTGAATCAATTCCAATGCACAATAATACTCCTCTGTGGGAGGAAGATGAGGCAATCTACCTGCATCCATAAAGATTTATGGCCTTGGAAACCCAGTAGGGGTCACTATGAGTTTGAATTAATTCCATAGCAGTGAGTTTAGTTTTTTAGGATAGAATAAAACCACCCATAGGGTTTCCAAGGCTCTAATCTTTACAGGAACAGACTGCCACATCTTTCTCCTGCAGAGTGGCTGGTATATTTGAACCACTCTCCTTTTGGTTAACAGCCAACCACTTAACCACTGTGCCATCAAGGCTCCATAGTAAGTATGGTACAGGTAAATATATAATTTAAAAATTCCTCCAAAAATAGGTTTCTAGGTTTTGGTATCAAAATGTTTTAGACTGTCTCTAAATTCAGTCAAAACATTATCAAGATAATATTTTGGCTCTCGTGGAGTTCTTTTCATTGTATTCAGCTTCAGCTGGAACTTGCATATGAGCAGTTGATGATCTGTTCCACATTCAGCTCCTGGCCTTGCTTTGGCTGAAGATATTGAGTTTCTTCCTCACCTCTTTCCACAGATGTAGTCGATCTGATTCCTGTGTACTCCATCTGGCAAACTCCAT